TTTCTTGAATTTGTGTTCAGTGGAGTAAGGAAGCCGTTGAAAGTCGAGAGCTTGCTGGCAAGAAGGCTAAACTCGCTGCAGCAGAGCTTGCAAAATTATCTAGGCGTGTATCATGTGAGTTATCTTCTCAACTAAAGAATTTAAGCTGTGGAGACTATTTTTTTTTCTTGGTTAAATTGGCTTTCGAGTATATGATGCAATTGGCATGAGACTTTGAATAATCTTTTCTGGTGGCCCTGGTCTACTAGACGTTATGAAATCTGGAAATTTTTGAACTCCATAAAGGGTTTTCCTAGGCATTTATAAAAAATTTTCTTGCTGAGATAGGTCTTTTGATTCTCGAATTTCAGATTGTTTTGTTTTGAATATAGTTATTGCTATGGTATCTGGAAACATGGCTCACTCTCATCGTAGTCAGTGTTACTGAGATATCAAACTGTCTATTGCTGTTTTGCTGCCTGTTCATTGTAGTTAATATAGAAGTTCTTTCCTTGATACACATAATGATGTAATTACTCTTCTGCCTTTTGTTTTGGATGTTTGATGGTACTGCAGGTAATAAAGGAGGGTGGTCATTTATTCCATATGTTACTACAAAGGTGATCCTTTTGGCATTTTTTATTTTTGGCTTTTATTGTAATATTTTTAGATAGTTCTAATTGAGGGGTTATTGGACCTGCTTTTACCTCTCCATTGAATTTACATATATCTGTTTCAAATGTGATCATTTATCATTTTGGGACTTTATAAAAATGTTCTAGTAATTTTATTTCTTATTTTTTGATACTTCCAGGTTCTTGAGAATATTCAAGTATCCATTAAAAATTTCCATGTTGTGTACAGTAACATGCAATCTGATTCAGTAAGTTTATTTCTCTTTATGCTCTTTGTTTGTTCTCTCACACTTGTCCTTGTGTATTTTGAAGTTCAATTTTGTTTATGACGACCTTTCTTAGTCTCTCTCTCTCTCGTTTCATTTTGTGTAGTTCCTAGTTCCTACTTGTCTGCTTTGTTTGAAATTTTGAATGTATTTTCAATAAACACATTACTATTTAAGTTCTTTAGTTCTAGTTTCATTTTGTTTGCATTTATTACTCAAATTGTATGGTTTATTGCTTGGTTCTTTTACACATGTTATGTTCATTTTTGCTATCAGGAATATTAGACATAGTTTTGCTCACTTTGGTGATGCCAGGGAAAAGATTAATATTTTTCATTATTCTCAGAATTTATGTTTTCACAAAACTGCATTTGAAAGACAAATCTAGTCCATGTTTGCTGATCTCCTCAAGTAGTTTTTGTCTTTGCAAATTTACTATCTAATACTTATGCACCTTTCATGGAAAAGAATTGTTGTCAGTAAGTGGCATTTCAGCAAAGTAAATAACAATTAAAATTACCAAGGTGAATTCCCGAAGAAAGTAAGCAGGTGAGACCATGTGTTGGCATTAGTTGAATAGATGTTGAATGTTTCATGAATATATTATTTTGAGGAAATCCATATATAGTACTATCATATCTAGTGTTATCATGTATTTGAATACTTTATGAGCATATTACACGAAGCAATCTCAATCTTTCCATTATATTGTGCTGTTAATAGTTCATATAATGTATTTTAAGAATTTTTTTGACTCATTAAGTTTCCCTTTTTATGCATAATTTGAATTGGTATCCTAAATCTGTATTTTCTTAAATTTTTTGCAGGAGCAAATGTTATTTGGTTTAAGGTTTTCTAGCTTGATTATATCAAAGGCGAACCCAATTGGGTAATTCCTCAGGTCCTTGTAGTAGTCTTGAAGTTCATTCTATTATTTATATACTGAATTGCATGTTGAGGTTTTTTAGTGCTTATTCCCCTTGTTGCTGAAGCATCTGTGTTTATGAAGTTAATCTAAATGCAGATAGCCACCAATAAAGAAAAATCTGAATTGAGTTTTTTTTTTTTTTTGTTTTTTGACTTCCTGTATACTTGCTATAACTTCAAATGACTAGTAACTTTATTTCCTGGAATCATGTCAGGGGCCAAGTAAGCAAAACTATAGAGATTGAAGCTTTAGAAATTTATTGTAGCTCCACCGGTGGGGCTGTCAATTTCAGGAGCTTGGAGAACACTGAGGAATTTGTACTGTGGTGCAATTCAAGATATGTTGGTGATAAATTTGAAAATTTGTTGGAGCCATTTAATGTATCAATTTCACTTTTGGTATGCCAGTTCTATTAGAGCCTTTTCATTCTCATCCATAGGATTTATTTCATTTGCAAATTTCATTTGAGTTCTTATTCTTTCATCTTCTTCTTTTTACTTTTGATCATTCTAAGACAGATCATTATTGTTGTGATAATTCCAGTTCTCCGTATTCTCTCTTGCTAAGTATTGACATTTTGGTTGTTTTAAGGTGGAGAAATGGAGTACATTAAAGAAATATAGAAGATGTTTGGTTATAGAGCATTTAAGGATCTAAGTTGATTACAGTTATGTTCATAAAAAAATTTGATTATGGTTATATGCCTTATGCCTAATAACATATATCTTGTTGCCTAAAAATGCATTATCTTAATGCAGAAAGAACCTATTTATCTGTGTGCTTTAATTTAACAAACTAGTCCTTTATTTTTTATATATGTATATGGAAGTATAAATTTTAATTTATTTAAAAGTTAATGCTTGGAACTAATGCTTGAGAGTTGGTAATGTGGTATAGTTGGGTTGGACACCAATAGATTGTGCTAATTTTAAAGTTTTTAAATTTGTTTTCTTTCTCCCATTTTCTTCTAAATTGAAATTTATTCAAATGATGTTTTTGTCTTGTAGGTCAACAGATCAGACAAGCTCAGTAATGATTTGCCCCAGTATTCTATCAGTGCCAAGTTAAACAGTTTGGTTGGCCATTTTTATCCTCCTTTATTTTTAGGCAGCACTAATCTAATATACCCAGATTTATAGTTTGAATTTACTTGGCTGGCTTATAACTTGTGCTTGTAAATTTTCCAAGGTTATGTCTTTGAGTGAAGTACATTTGCGGCAAATCTTGATCCTATTGGACTACTTAAGCACAAGTCAGTTGAGGGAGAGGTAACTGCAGTCATTATTATATCTTTGTGATGTACATTTAGTATGATTGCTCTAACTTTGATGTGGCATCATTTTCTCTTTTCAGTTCGTTTGTTGCATTTGGATATGCTTTTTCTTTTGATGGAACATTACGATGTGAATTGAACTCTTATGTCCCATTTTACTATTATTATTGGTAAATATTGTGTAACTTGTTTATCAATTTCATTGGGTGACTACTGTCTTAATTTCAAAATATCTCCACAAGTCTATTTTCGGAAAAGTCAAGTTTTCCATTCCCATAAATAGTATTTAAATCTTTAACCTGGGCATACCCGGTGTATTTACAATTTCAAAATCTCCTAAAACATTGGATCAAAATTTGTTTCTACTGCACAAGTCTTATTTGTTTTTGGTTTTTGTTTTCTGGTTCAATAAATAATCTTTTTGGTAGTTTGCGATAGAATATGCTGAACACCTGATTTAGATAATTATTATGTGAGAGAAATATGATGCTATTTTTAGGAGTTGATACTGATTTTAGTGATGTTGAAACATAGAGCTTGAAATTGGTCAAAATTTTCCTTTATCTGCATTTCTTGAACTATCATCAAGCTTGTATGATATAAATTGGTCAACTTAAACATTTTGTTGTTGTTGTTGTGTTTTTTTTTTTTTTTTTTTTTTTTTTGGGGTTCTTTCTTCTTTTAAATTTTAAATGAACTTTAAGGATAAGCGTAGGTCCTATTTGATCAAGGGTTGGGGTTGATCTTGATAAAAAATTGTGATGTCAGTTTGAATTTTCTGGCTGCTTGCAGGCTAAGGAAGTTGGACATCATATACTGCTCTCTATGATAAAACAATGTGCTAAGTTCTTTTGAAGGAAAATGGTGTCGAATGCTGTGTTAGAAAATATGGATAATTCTCAAAGCTGTTCTATTGATTTACTTATTATTAGTTTGTCTAGAGTTAAGGCATTGTTAGTTGAGTTGACCTTTTTATGTTGCATGAGAAAAAAAAGTTATCTTTGTCAAAAAAGATTCTTCTTTTATTTTGGAAGAAAAGGTTGAAGATAAGATGCATGTAAAGCTGAGCTTTCCTCATTTTCTTCTATATTTTATTGGACTTCATGACATACTTGTGTTACTTGTATAAGAGTGTTTGAAGTTTAATAAAATGTGCATCATGTTGATGTCTTAATGTCCACCTTTGTTTTTGAAATAAATGTAACATCCAGCACTGTTTGGGTGAAAGATTCAGTTATGGCTTCCAGGTCTTTATTGAATTTGGAGCTTAAAATTTTGTTAAAGATTTAACATAATGTCACTGAATGGTGCAGGTATGGACGATATCGTCCTTTTTCTTCTCTTTTATCAAGAAAAGGAGATGGTTGGCAAAGATTGTGGTGGTGTTATGCCCAAGAATCTATCATATCAGATGTCCATAAGAAATTAAAGAAAAGTTCATGGAGATACCTTGGCCAGCGATTGTAAGTCCAGATATTTTTTGTTTGCTGACATTGTTATACATCTGCATGCACAAATTAATTAGATATTGATTCTTGCTTTGCCTGCATATCTGAACATATTCATTTTGTACTAAGGCATGGAGCCCAAAACTGCTGTGCCTGTATAAAATTCAGCCTTTTATGTTATTGATAAAAACAAAATGTTGTAGTTACTCAACTTATTGTTTGAATGCATACTTTACTTTAAGTTCTCAACTTTAAACAGAATTAGGTGATGTTAAAACAGGTAAACTTGTTGCCATGAATGGTTTATTATTCAGGCTTTCTTCTTTTTTCCATTTCACATAAAAAATCCAAATCTCTTTTTAAATAAATTTGTCTTCAATTTTTGGGGATATCAAGGAACTAGGTTTATGAAGTGGCAAGCATTAACAGTTTATGAAGGAACAATCCCACAGTATGTCACCGTACTCTTCATGAATGTTAATTTGTCCTTTAAGTTTTAAAATATCCAATTTTGTCCTTTTTCTCCCTACCTATGCCTGGTCAGATCCTTTCATCCAAGTTCAACTTTCCCCTAAATCCCTGTTAGACTTAATAGAAGTGCACTTTTCCTGATGTTAAAAAAAGGTGCTAGTTAAAATATTAATTAAGTTGTAATTAAATTATTTTAAATTGATATTGAATTAGAAAAGTTAATGTGAAAATCTCTCCTTTGTCGCACTGGATTTGGTGCTCAAAGAGAGGGCAACCAGGCTGGTTCTTCCCCCAGGAGCACCTATTTTGGTGCTCTAATGGGCACAACACTAGCAGGTCCAATTTGGGGCACTGGAAATGAATGCTCCCTAAATAAGACTGATCTGGTGCTACTAGCAGGAGCACCTGCTTTGAGGAGCACCTGCTTTGACTCCCCATTGCAAGCACCTGTGGAAGTTCATTTATTTACAATACATGAGGAACTTTTGTTCCTGACATGTTACCTAAAGAAAATACGTAAACATGATTTTATACACTTTTATGTACATCAATGCATTATGAGATTTTTTCTCATAAGATCAACCCTGTATTATAAGATAAATTGTATGTAATAAAGATGTGTACTTTTTTCCCTCTTCCTCTAATGCTTGAGCTTATGAAGCTAAACCTCGTTTTGTTCTTGTAGGAGTAATCGCCGGAAGTATGTTAGTTTGTACAAGAGTAAGTTAGGGCTTCTTCGGCGTGACCTGGTAAACAATCGTTTTCTTTTTAGCTTTCAAAGATGCTTTTTGCTTACAGCATAATCACAGTTATGTGTTCTTTTAGATTTGCTTCAATTCTTCCATTTGTGTCAAAGATATTTTATAATCTTTATGGTTCATATTTGTGATCCTTATGTTTTTCCTATATAGTTTGTGTTGGTGGCTTTTATATCAAAGCTAGATCACCATTCATTTATTAGGCCTCTTTATAGGTAAAGAATTGTTAGGGCTAGATACTTGGTAGCCTTGTAGAATCAATCAATCCATCAAAGTCATCTTTGAGTTTACTCAAATAATTTGAATTATGAATGCACAATTTCTCTGTATCTTTTTTTTTTTAATTGTTTGTTTATTTCTGTGGATTAAATGTTGGTAGTTTCTAACCCTGTGTTTACTTGTTTAATTTTTGAATTTGCAATTATCAGCCAATTGATGAATCTATCCTTCGGGAATTGGATCAAATGGAGAAAGAATCTGATATTGATGATATCTTATGTTATAGGTCTGCTGCGGAACACGAACTGCAGGTATGAATGTTTCACATCTGTGACTTCTAAATTACATTAACATACTATTGTCATATTTATTTCTGTACACATTAAAGCTATTCCTCAATTGTCACCAATGAGCTTAAGATTTTATGTGGAGCGATTCTTGTTTTTGTATAAAAGATACTTGTTCCAGTGATGAATATTCTTTACTTACTAAATCCTATGAGTCTCCTTATAATTAAAGTAAATCTCAGTAAAGTATGTTGTAGGCCTGTGGTTCGTCTAATTGCACGGTGCATGGGCTTGCAAATGAGAGCTGTATGAGAAACTAAAACTTCTTACATCCTAACCTATCAATGTTAGCTTTTAGGTTGAACAATTTCTGGTGATTCCCTTACCCTTCTACTTGTCTCTTTCTTTCTGGAAGTATCTCTTTACTGAGTTTTATAATTTATTACTGTTAATGAGTTTATATGTTTCATGCAAGGGTGGTTAACTTTTATTTTGACTTTCTGTTTGTTTATGTTGTGTTCTTGCAGGAACTTTTAGCTCACTCTTCAACAGAAAATATATCTTTTGAGAAGTCCAGGAAAGATGACCATCCAGATGGCAAGTTGAGTGGATGGTTAAACTGGTTGTCACGTGGAATGCTTGGTGCTGGTGGTACAGATGATTCTAGTCACTTCTCTGGTATTGTCTCTGATGAAGATGTGCAGGTAGTTGGTTTTCCAGCAGTTTTTTTTTGTTGAATGCACTTTCTGGTTAGATGACTCATTACTGTTCCTCTGTGCAGGATATATATGATGCAGCAAAGTTCCATCTACCTGCTTTTTCTGGAGCAGATGCTGATGAAAATGGGAAGATGTATACATGTGCAATTGAGTTTGGCATTGATGAATTGTCTTTAACAGTGCGGTATGAAAACTATTTTTTAAACTCATTCAGGGTGAAAATTAGATGGTTGAAAATTTTTTTTTATTAGAATGTATCTTTATTGTTCATTGCACTTGTTCTGAAATGTAGTAGCATGGAGTGATAATATTAGCGGATAGTCTAATGTTTTATGTGAGGTTCTGAGGTTCTATGAAATAAAGGATTTTGTAGTTTTCTTTCTTTTTGTCATAGAATTTTATATTTATGTATGGTGAATGAGGCAGAATATTTTGGTCAAGGGATTTCTTGCAAGCCAATTCCAAATCAATGAATCATTGACAATTAAAGAACTATTTCATTATTATACTCAATCGGTGCTAGCGTAAGTTAAGGAACTAATAAAGTTCTAATTTAAGTTTCTTTTGCTGGAAATAATTAAAAGGTGACAATAGTGTAAACCGTGAATGTAAGGTTGATAGCTGTTTGCATTGATCATAACAAGTAGATGCCTATCCAGACAATTTTTGCAACATGTTCTGTTGTTTGTGTTTATGTCATTCATGTTTGTGCATAAGTGACATTATTGTTCTGATGAAGAATATTCATAATTAAATGACTCTAACGATTCTGTTTTGTAGGAATTCCTGTTGTGAAATTGCTAAGTTGTGTTTTCATGGAGTTGTTATTGAATGCAAGCTACAGGATCAATTGACAACCCTGATTGTTTTTCATAAGTCTGGAGAGATAATCTATCCCTTAAACAACAAAGTCATCCTATTAATGGCAGGGGTTTGTATTCCTACCCTGGTTTGATGTTTTACATAAGTGTCAAAAAGTAAATTTTTATGTCATAATGTTTCTTCACCTCTGTTATGGTGCTTCTTTGCCTTTTTCCCTAAGGCCCTTGGCATAGGTCCAGTTCATCCCATGATATACTAGGTTATGTTGATATGACTCTTTCAGTTAAAAATGTCCATGGCCATTTAGTGCTAGTAACCTTCAGCTTATAAGCAACATCTGTTGTTGTCTCCCAATTTGAATAGCCATTAAGCTTGATACTTGCTTGAAGAGAACCATATTTGAAATCACATTTGTAACTGCAAGTAGTGTAAAAGTTATATGAGGTTTTTTAATGATTCTTCTTTGTTCTAATCCTCATATTCAGTTATCTGTTGATTGCAGTCATGCATGGATAAAAATGTCAGGGAGACTGAGCCTTTATATAGAGTCCAAATGGACTTATCTCCAAAGCAAGATGTCAAGTTGTCGGTAACTTCATTTTTTGTGCCCATTTCATGATTTTCTTTTGAATATCCTGGCTGAAAAGATTTTTATTTTGATATAAACCTTTTTTGGGCAATAATGATTTTGGTGAAATGTTCCATTTACAGTTTCTTTACTTGTATTCAGGTCATGCTTCGGTCACTTGAAGTTGCTTATGAAACAGCATTTTTTCTGGATTTAATGGAATTTTTTAATATTCTTAAATCCTTTGAATTTCAGCCTGAGAGGGTAACATTTATTACACTAACTCTGTTTCATTCAGTTGCTGTGTCAGTTTTTCCTGTGATTTTGATTATATGGCCTACTGGTGTGCCTTTGAAGATTTGGTTATATTTTTTATGGATATGTTCACCTTTTTGTACTTCTGAGTTATCTACTTGTATATTCTATTATGGTTTTCATATGTAGAACTTTCCATGAATAACTCACAAATTACTGAATAATAGGTCCCCGAAATTTTCTCAAAAAATGGTATGTTATTTGTTGAATGGCAATCTGGTCCTCAAGCTTGGAAAGTCCAACCAAAGAAGTTCTTTGGTTAGTTTTGTCATGGACTAATTCCTTTTAAGTTTTAGCAGATATGTCATTTTTAGGTTGTTTGAATTTAAAATATAATAAAAAGAAAATAAAATTGATCAATGCTTTCAATTGACAAAATGCAGAACAAAAGAAAAATTCTCTTTCCTCTCTCCTTTCATCTCCTGGGAAGCCGTTGCAAGTGATATTAGGCTGTCAGTTGTAGAGATATTTTTGGACTGCCATACAATGATGAAAGGTTCCATAACATGCATACAGAAATTTTGTTACTAGCATGAAGTTGTTTAGAATATCTTTCCATGTTACAAGGCACAGTATTCTCACTGGTGTGAGTTAATAGTACTAAGTATTCTTCCTAGTGCAGGTCCTGTCTTCATTAAATGGATTTGAGGATGATAGCTCCCGATTATTAGCAAAAGCAGAGTAAGTTCTTTTAGTACAGGATTCTTGTCAATTTTTCTCTATGAATTAAACAGATTGTGGATGCCTGCTAATTTTCATTCTATTTATATTTTGCAGATTCATTCTATCAAATCATAAGAAAGTGGTATGCAATGTTAGCATCATCAATGTTATCCTGGATGTCCCTCTGACAAATACAGTTTCAGAACAATATAACATGGTAATTTCATTGATTTATAACTTAATTGGGCATCATGTTAGATTGACTTTTGGTGTTCCTTAACTACTAATATATTTATGTTCCATTTTGCAAGAATCTTTTGCCCCCTCCACCATTTTTAATAAAATTTGGCATTATATAGTTCTGTTTAGTTGTTAGTTGGGATCATGGATTTTTTGGTTCATTTGCAAATATCCTTGAAAAGTTACCATGCTACTGGTTTGAGTTAATTTGAGTTTGAGCTCACTACTTTTTGATGTGAATTTTAGAAAGTACTATCTACTGTTCTTTTGCAGGTTTTGGAATTAGGATCACTTATTTTAACATCCAAACCTGACCTGGATTCTCTTTGCTCCAGTACTGGTGAACAATCAGATAATTTGAAGCTCTTACTGGATTCTGTTTGTCCCTCTCTGTTAATAAGTTTTCAGCTTCAAGATCTCTATAACCACTTTGAGATCAAAATAGCTGATTTTCAGGTGCACAATCTTCTTGGTGAATATTCTTTATCCATTTTTCTTTATTGACCTTTTGATAACAGTAGCTTATGTTATGTCCAGATGAAGGTGGTCATGGCTCATTATCATTCAGAAATTTCTGTTCTAGAGAAGTTTTGCTCTTCCGTTACTTTGTCATCTTGTATTATTCCTAATGAACAGATTCTTAAGCAGTTGGAGGTAATCAAACTTAAACTTTGAGTTTATTGTGGCAAGGCAATATGCAAATTTCATTTTAATTAAAAATATTGAAATGTACTCTCATTTTCCTTCTTATTCTTCTGTTAATGGAGAAAGTCTGCATCTGAATTTCCTGTGTATATTCTTTATTTTCTTGTTAATCAACCGCAGTAACTTGAGGTTATTGTTGATTTATTGTCAATGAGGGTACCAGAACATAATCTAAATTGAAAATTAAGAAGAAGTTTATTTAGGTGGAAGCTTTTCTCTGTTGTGAAGTAGGGTTGTATCTGATCTTCATGATTGGATATTTATGTTTTTTTCTTCTATACTAATTAGGATTAGAAAGGTCAGTTAATCATGAACCCTTCTACATTTTAAGAAACATATGCTATTTTCCTCACTATTGCCTATTCAACACTCTGTGTGGTGTCTGTGTCAATGTTAATAGTATTGTAGGTTAAGTCTGACACTATGATATTAGACAACACAATATGTTTCTTGGAATAATTTCTGAATAGCATAAAGGGAACTGACAAATTAGGCAAAAGGTGTATTTTATTTTGCTCTTCTTTTGCCAATTGTCAATCCTTTTTTTTTTTTTTTGGAAAACATCCACAGAATACTTTGTCAGCTGTTCCCAATTTCACATTGTTATGTTGTGCTTTAGGTTGTAATTCTTAACTACCCTGAGGTTAAGAAAATTAGCATACTAATACTGTTAAAAAAAGTTACTATCTCCATCCAAGTTCGTTTGTCACACTTGTGTGGCACAATTACAGAGAAATTTATTAAAAATCTAAAAACACTATCATTGGGACTTTTCCAAAATTTCCTTAAAAGTCTTTTTAATAATAAAAAGCTTTAGGCCACCCAAAAACCTTTTAATAGGGTTAAAATTGGGAAGAAGCATTTAATGTCTTTGCAAAATGGAAATGTGACAACTAATTTTGGACACCCTTATTTAAAAGTGTGACAGCTAAACTTGGACAAATGTAGGTTTTGGCAAATGAAATTACTCTACATGCCTAGAAAGTGTTTTGGAAATTTGTCATCTTGCTAACTTTTTTAATGGTGTTTGTGAGAGTTCCTTATGGAAAAAGATTTTTAGTTTAGTGTTATAAATTTAAATATTGGATGGCAAACCATGCCATATGCAATACTGTATTTTTGTGAATTTATCCCTATTAGGATTTAAGCAAGTGATAATCAAACACTCATTTCCTCTGATGCTGCTTAAATGTTTTATTAAATGAGTTGAGTGCGCTTTTATAAATTAAGAAGCTCTTTATCCTTTGGCTTTTTCCTTCACTGTAATTGTTTTGGTTTCAGGTTTGTGCCTTCATTTCACCCCTCCTTGTGCACATTTCTCCATTAATATGCGAGTCAGTTGTTGCTTTGATTGCACTTCTTGATAATCTGAACTCAGCTTCTGAACTTAATGTGCCGGATGCTCATAATTCACTTAATTCCACATCATGTCCACCGAGAACTCCTCTTTCTGGTGTCAACGTGACTACAAATTTTGAAGCAGTCAATATCCTTGTTGACTTTGCAAATGGCGGAGAAAATGGCCCTGCCATCATGATTTCTCTTAACAAATTTGATCTTAGGTATGTTGTTATCTTTTAATTTTCTGATGATGCATGCAGATGTCTTTCTCATGATTACTTTCTTGTGGAAATTTCTGGGTAGTGCTTCACATTAGTTTGGAATCTGCTGCTAGTTTCTCTATTTAAGAAGAGTTACTATGAGTGCGTACTTTAAGCCTTTGTTGAAAACCAGTTAACTAGTGATCTCCTGTTCAAATTTTTTCCAGCTAACTTTCTCCTTTGAAAGTGAAGCCTTTGGTCTGTTGTATAAATTGCAGGTATGCTTTTAAAGGATTTGAGGAGTTATGGATCTGTTCAAAAGCTTTGGAGATTATTGCTTATCAATCAAGCAATGAAGAGGATGGCAATGTTTTATGCTCTTCTGGGAACCTACACACTTCAAGATCTGCACATCAGCATGAGATCTGTGATGGACTTGGTGATCAAACTGATTACTTTAGTAACAAAAATGCATCTTCTGAAGCTTGTTTTCTTTTACATTATGAAGTTCACAGATGCATAGACTCTGTTTGTCACAAGTTTAAATTGTGCTTGAGTGATGCTGACCTCCACTGCTACCCGTATGTGTTTGGCTTGTTAATGGGGTTCTTTGATAGAATACAATCAATCAGCAGCTTTGTTGCTGGTGAGAATTCCTGGCACTCCAATTCAGATGGTAATAGTCTAAAAATGGTGCCCAAGTTTGAGTTTCAAAGGTTTGGTTTTTCAAATTTCTCTGAAGAAGGAACATCTGATTATGCAAGTATTTCTTTGGATTTTTTTCCATTCATTACAATATGTAATTCGGGGTCCCTTACCAGTCTTGAGAATTCACTTCGGTATTCCACTCTTGATTGGAGGAAATCACTCAATCAAAGGAATAGAAAATTTGACAGTCCAAGCCACAGTAGAGAGAAGGGATCTAGAGACTTCCCTATTCTACCACTGAAATCCATGCATGCTTCGGATGCAACTTTTCTGTCAGGGAATTTGGATATGTATGTTATTGATGTCAATCTCTCTGGAGTTAGGATTCATTTCCATGATTCATCATGTACTGTCGGAATAATTACATTGCCTAACTCTAAATCATCTCTTTGCATTTATGAAGACTCTATGGATCTGGTGTCTTCCACTGAGGGGTTGATTTTGACGTCATCTTGGTGGACCAAAAGTTTCCAAGACTTTCTGTGGGGTCCTTCATTACCAAACATTTCTCCAGTGTTAAACATACGTGTTAGAAAAGGAAGTTTTGAATCGTTGAATTCACAACTTGAAATTAGTTTTGGAATTCAGCATGTGTGCTGTGTTCTGCCACCGGAATACTTAGCCATCATAGTTGGTTACTTTTCACTGCCTGATTGGAGTTCAAATTCAAGTATGCAGCCTGTGAAAAAGGATTACCAGGACCACCAAACTAAGATTGCAATAGTTTATAAGTTTGAGATTCTGGACTCAACATTGATTTTTCCTGTGGAAAGTGATGATGATCATCAATGTTTAAAGATTGAACTTCATCAGATTTATTGCAGTTTCATTCCTGAATGTGATTTGAGCAATGTGTTGCAAGACATTCCTCCTGAGTATATGGTTCCAGTGTATAAATTTGCAAAGACAAATCACTCTTTGAATATATTTGGACGAGATTTGTCCCTCTCATTTCTGTTGTTTAAGGATGATGGATATGGTTCTTTAATGCCTGTTCCAGGTACTGAACCAATAAGTATTACCTTAATTTCATCATTTGTTGCTGATGTTTGGGTAAGAATACCCTGTGAAAGTGAATCCTTTTCTGGTAGCCATTCTAATTCAACATGTATCATGTCAAGGATAGGCACTTGCCAACTTAATCTTGATGGTAAGATCTTGTCTTGCGTGGTTACTTTGGATTTAGATTATTATGATATAACCTGATTTTCTATTTGTTTCTTTTTGTTTATTTCTCTTATACTTCAGTCATCTGTTCTCCATCTTTTTGGCAGATTCTTACTCTTTGGATGGACTTACTGCTCTACTGGAAATTATAAATCACCTTTCATTAGTTATTGATGAATCAAAAAGTTTCACATCAGATGTTTTGCAGTTTCTCCAGTTAACTAGGTCCGTGAATGAAACTGGAGCTGTTACACCTGCTGATTCTGCCGTGATATTTACAGAAGTTAGGTGTTGTATTGAATCATTATTGATACAGTTTCATCGCTTGGGCAATCATTCATTTTTACTGGAACCTGTTGCTAAGGCTGATATGAAGTTTATGTGCTCTGTATCACTTGTAAATGATATACCCACAAGCTTGGATATAAGTTTTAACTCTCTGGCATTATCTTCCTTGCTGAATGCTGTTATCCTAGCACGGTGCATTGGTACTTGCTCAGCCCCACGAGTTTTTAAAGTTTCTTTCTCAAAATCTGATCAAGGTGTGAATGAGTTCAATGTCTATCTCCCTTCTCTTCATATCTGGATGCATTCTTCTGACTGGACTGACATCATCAACCTACTTAATTCTTATGCTTTGAGGGTGAGCAAAACTACAGTGATTGATTCATCATCAAAGAGTTCAACTATGAATACTATTGGTCCATTTAAAAATGTATTGGATGTGGGTTCTCAAATTTGTGATCAGAATTCTGGTGTGATAATTCATCATGAACCACACAATGTGAATCAGGCAACTTTAGGTGTTATTGTCAGTTCAGAAAATATTGGCATTACAGTTCGGTTTCCGATCTGGGTTAGTGGAGAAGCACTTAGTTTATTCGAGGCAGCTGAAATTCAAGAAGAGAGGCCACAGAGTATTTTCTCTGATGTTGTTGAAGGGAAATACTGCAAGTTTTTAACCATGACAACACATAGTAGAAATAGTGAATTGCTAATGGTGGGAAAAGATGTAAAGTTAAAGTGTATTCTGGAAAAAACTAGTTGCTCAGTTGTGATTTGTGGGGATAAACATGTCAATTCTTGGCCTTTCTTTCATATATTTCAAATTAATGCGGAGACTGAGATATGTATTAATGAGAGGATGCCTTTCCATGTAAATGTGGGGGTTCAGTGTGACCGGTTAGATGTATGGCTTTCACATCAAGTGTTCTTCTTTTGGCATGATCTGCAGTTTGACTTCCCTGGAGCAGGATCTTCTGAGCATACATTTGGAAATGTGAAATTTAGGGTCCAGTTGAGGAAAGCTTCACTTCTACTCTCTGATGGAAGGGTATTTCCCATTTTGACTTCTTAAGCTATAATTTCTACGCTAGTATGTTGGGGTTTCAAGTGAATTATTGTTATTCTATAGATTTTCCTGGTTGTTCACTGACTAAAATGAAATCTTGGGTCTTCACCGGTTTATAGAGGGTGCCCATGGATTTTAGTGACACTCATCATTTGTTGAAAATATGGGACCCAATTATATTGTTTAGGTTTCATTAAGTTCTGCGTTTCCTTTGAGATTGTGTTATTTACTTAATTCTTGTGGGCATAGGACATTATTAATTCCTTGTTTTCGTCATTAGAGTATACTAGGACAATAGAATCTATACATATTATACTTATTTATTTTGGCTTCTTGATTTGGAAGTTTCGATGACCAAATTCTGTTGAGACAAGTTGAGCCGGCCTATTGTTTTGGTTCTTCCTCTTCCTATTATTTTTTTTGTTCCCTTGCACTCCCTTTTCTTCTAAATCCTGAACGGTTTATCACTTTCTCCTTGCTTGTTTTCTTTTTGCGCTCACTCCACTGCCTGACCCACATTGGCTATATAAAATTAAAATTTTAAGTTGAGTAGTTATCTCATATGGTGTTTTGAGCCTCTTCGATGTAGGGTCGTGAGTTTTAGTGTTGGGTGCCCCCATTCTCATAATTAAAATATAGCACTATCCAATGGTTCACTTGAACATATCTCAATCCTTGATACCTGGTGTTTGCATGTGTATGGCAAACTAGAGATTAGAACATTTATGTGGTGAAGTTTTACCACATGATTCAGTTCTTATAATCATACCAATTCATGTTATTGTTTTGTCTGCCTTCATTAATTTTCTCATTTATTTCTATGCAGTGGAGTTGTAGTGGGCCTCTTTTGGAGATCCTTTTGAGGAATTTCCTTTTGGATGCGCACATGACTCAAAGCAGCATAGAAAGCACAGTTTTGTGTGATCTTCAAGTGAATTACAATAACAGTCACAAGGTATTTCCATGCCCCATGATCAAAATAAAAGTTTTCTTTTCTTCATTGTTAGTTATATGCTAAGTTTCTATTGCTTATATTGATTTTAGGTCTTGTGGGAGCCTTTTGTTGAGCCTTGGAAGTTTCAGATCAGTGTAAATAGAAAACTTGAGATGAATGCTTTGTTGGACAGCTCTTTTTTAACAGATATTGATCTAACATCAACAGCACAGCTGAACTTCAACCTTACAGAGCCCCTTATTGAGGTACTGTAGATGTAGATCTTCTTTTCTTCGTCTCTCATGTAGATTATTAATAGTTCTCTGGATTTATCAAATGCAATTCTCGGATTCAAATCCTGTTTAAGTTGGAAGCTTTGCTTATAGAAAAAAACCTCTTGAGGGTACATGGAATGTATCTTTGAATAGTTTCAATTGCTGTTGTTGTTTAGAAATAGAAGAAGAGGGAAAAAGATTGAAATAGAGAATTATCTAACGAAGAGCACACAACAAAATCTCTTTATATTTATGAATCACTAAACCCAAATACTATAATTTAATTTGATTAATCATATGGAGAAGACATGGGTATGTATAGAGATCTTTAGACTTGTTAGGTGGGAAAATCCCACATGGAAGAATTAATGGGCCTGTGGTCATAAATATAATACGGGTCACTACACCTATTGCTGGTTGGTTGTGTTGGATGCTCACAAGACTCTTCTCAACCCACAAGGCTTTTGATTAAGAGTTATAACCGATGCAAGATTAACATCTAGTTGGTAAATGGATCATTAGAAATGATTAGATTTATACTATTGAGTCCTTTTACTTGCAGCTTGAAGTATTACTCATTATAAAATTGTGATTAGCAATTTTTTTTCCTTATAGACTGTTTTGAGGACGGTTGAGGTGTTTAAAGATGCCTGGGGCCTGATGGAACAAGATGTTCACGAGAACAAGAGATTGCTGAATTGTATGTTAACCGAAAAAATGTCTAGTGGAAGATATGCTCCCTATGTTCTTCAGAATCTTACATCTTTGCCTCTAATATATCGTGTTTATCAAGGACTAGTAGACTCTGATCAGTTTGATGTCTCAGAAATGAAGGATGGAAAATCTGTGCTGCCAGGTGCCACTGTTCCAATATATCTTAATGACACTCCTGAGGAACAACTTTTTCATTATAGGCCTGCTCATTCTTCTGACAAGCTTGGTGAGAAGCAACCAAATGGGGTAGCTCATCATTTAATGACCATTCAACTTGATGGATCACCTGTCCCCTCTGCTCCTGTTTCAATAGATCTCGTTGGAGTTACCTACTTCGAGGTTGATTTTTCTAATGCTTCGAAATACAATATGAATGTGGAAGAAAAGGGTACTGCCAATACGAATACTGGTTTTGTTGTCCCTGTTGTGTTTGATGTTTCAGTCCAGCGGTATAGCAAGTTAATACAATTGTATTCAACGGTATGTACAAATTCAATCAATATTGTTGTCCTTCCAATGCTTATTTCTTATGATTGTTCACTTGTTGATTTCAGGTGATAATACTTAATGCCACTTCAATGCCGATAGAACTACGGTTTGATATTCCATTTGGCATTGCACCAAAGGTATGTATAAAATGGTTGTTTTTTATTTTTAGGTCATGGAACAACAATATTTCTTTCCAATTCACTTAAATAGTCGTTATTAATGGGTTCTTCAATTATTGATATTTACTTACTTATGAATCTTCTTTTTTAGCTTTAATTTTGTTAGAGTAGGAAAGTTCCACATTTTTCAAAGGGGAAACCTATGGAGTTATAAATAATATTGATCTCTCTACTAATTGGCAATTGATTTTAGGTTACATACTATTTATCATGGTTAGGCCCTTTGTTGTTGTCCACGTGACATGACCTGAGACTCATAGTGGACCTGCGAGTGGGGCTGTGTAAAGTGGGAAGTCCCCCATTGGTTAGGTAATGGGAAACCTGTGTACAGTGTACTTGTAAATAATATGGGCCTATCAACCTATATAACCTATTGCCCCTTTGGTTTTAGGTTGGATGCTCTTTATCAAATTTAATATAATGAAAGGAGAAAAAGGAGAGAAATTTTTTGGTATATCAATGTATAGAATGACTTCATGCAATGGATAATGAAATTGTTGTGTTGGTTATATCCATTTATACCTTTCTATGACTATATTCATTTTTGTGTATGTTAATCCAGATTCTAGATCCAATATACCCTGGTCAGGAATTCCCACTGCCTCTGCATTTGGCTGAATCCGGTCGCATGAGGTGGCGTCCACTTGGAAATTCTTACCTGTGGAGTGAAGGGCATAACCTGCACAATGTTCTTTCCCAGGAAAGCAAAATTGGATTCCTTAGATCTTTTGTATGTTATCCTTCTCATCCAAGCAGTGATCCATTTCGCTGTTGCTTCTCCCTTGAACGTATTTGCTTACCTACAGCTGTGAGGCCAAAGAAGGGTTCAATGCATCATGTTAACAATTTGAACCAATCTGTCCAGATTTCAGATCAAATTTTAAATGATCTGGACAAGTCAAAGAGCCGTTTTATTCATCAAGTGACCTTAAGCACTCCATTAATAGTGAACAACTATCTTCCAGAGACTGTTTCATTAAAAATTGAAAGTGGTGGTGTTCCTCGTACTACATTACTTTCAGAGGTTTGTGTCTGATTTTTCCATCATTTGTAGGGTGGATAGGTTGATTTTTGTTCTGGTTTATGATCAAATTTTTTTTGGTGCCATTATTATTGACTAATATGCTAATTTTTCAGGTTGTAACTTTCTTTCATCATGTTGACCCTTCACATGACCTGGTGCTGGAGTTCAGTATGCATGGTTTTAGACCTTCGATAGTTAAGTTTCCACGTGCTGAAACATTCAGCACAATGGCTAAGTTCAGTGGAACTAAGTTCTCTCAGTCTGAGACCCTGGCCTTTGATTCTGATTTGTGTAATGGTAATTTATATGCATGATTGACTACTTTTGGTAATGAGATATTTGAATTAATTTTCTTACTAGTTACTGTTTTACATTTTTCTAGGTCCAATTTATATGGTTGTGGAAAGGACATTGGATGCATTCTCTGGGGCACGAGAACTTTTCATCTCTGTTCCCTTTCTGTTATATAACTGTACTGCTTTCCCTCTAGTTATTTCAGAGTGCACCAGTGAAATGAAAGGAATTGCATGCACCATGCCTTCCTGCTATGATCAATTTGATCAGGAACAATTTCAAGGCAGAAGAGATGGTCTCAGCCTTTTATTATCTGATCAGGATTCACTTGAATGTTCTTTCACAAAAGTTCACACTGTTTCAACTAGGAAAATCAGTAATCCACTTTCAGGAGGGTTTTTAAGCAAATCCTTGACTTCATCTGGATCTTCTAAATTTTCCAACAAAGAAATTGACGGACATGATTTAGAGGTTTCAGAAGTTCCTTTAAGCAGTCTGAAGAATAGGTCTTCTTCAAGCACTCAGTTGTTGTTGAAGGATAATGGTTTTGTAGATAAAGAACAAAGAAAGGTTAAGGCATGCATGTACTCTCCCCATTCTACTTCTGCTTCAAATGAAATACTGGTTTGTTTGAATAGGTGTTTGCCTGGATTTGTCTCCGAGAATATGTCAAATTCTTCATGGTCAGCACCATTTCCTCTTGTCCCACCAAGTGGTTCAATGAATGTGCTTGTTCCACAGCCATCATCAAATGGTGCATTTATAATATCTGTAGCATGTAGTGCTATTGCTGGTCAATTTGCTGGGAGGACACGAGCCATTACTTTCCAACCTAGGTAATGACCTGCATGTCAGTGCAACAAAATTGTAGTTCTTACTGAAAGTGTATACTGTTTATTCCTGTATCATTGCATTATTGCCTCTAGCTTGTTAGTAATTTTACCATTTGCAGATACATTATCAGCAATGCATGCAGCAAAGATTTGTCTTATAAGCAGAAGGGGACTGATACTGTCTTTTATTTGTGTGAGGGGCATCACTCCCAACTCCACTGGACAGATACAACAAGGTACTTTGCCATCTTTCGTTGATGAACTGATGTTCCCTAGGATATATTTCTTATTTGTCCAATATTTCCTTGTTTAACACTAGCGAAACCTAAGAATGTCTCAACGGCAACATATTTGAACTGCTACAGATTGTTTTGGTACTTTCCAAGTTTATCAATTCCTCAAAATTTTCCTGCTTTGATATTTATTAAAAAACAAAATTTTGGCCAATATTTTTCCCTTGATTCACATGCTTGTGTATAGCAAGATCTTCCACTCATTCCATTGCAAGTTGTTGCAGGGGGTTGCTGCTTTCCATGCGTTTTGATGAACCTGGATGGCAATGGTCTGGCAGCTTCTTGCCAGATCATCTGGGTGATACCCAAGTGAAAGTACGGAATTATGTTTCTGGTGCTATAAAAATGATACGAGTGGAGGTGCAGAATGCTGATGTTTTTGTTAAGGATGAAAAAATTGCTGGAAGCCTTCATGGAAATTGTGGAACAAACTTGATTCTTTTATCAGAGGATAATACAGGGTATATGCCATACAGAATTGATAATTTCTCGAAGGAGGTTGGTACTTCTTTATCAACTCTCTTCTTCCCTAATCTGTTGGTTTAGTGTCAATGACTGCAATTTGTGTACTGCAGGACCACTGTCTGTTTCCATGAGCTTGCTACTTTGTCAATAACTATAAAATTTGTTGCAACTGCATTTTTCTTATTATGCTGTTAGGTGTGTGTGTTTTTTTTTTGGGTCTTGCCAGAATATCAGATATTGCCCTTTGCCCCCCTTTTCTCATATGAACTTATTGTCCCTTCTGGCACTCAATTCTGTCCATCTTTTTATGGGCTAAGGAATGGAATCTCTTCTTCAAAAGAAATTGTTCCTTGATTCCCTTTGTTTCTTTTTTATTTGCTTTCTAGTCTCTATCAAAAAACTTGTACATTTTCTGGTTGTTCTAAAGTACTGTGTTTTACATTTTGGGTAAATGCTAGAAAAGAAGACAATAATTTAGTTTATGACCATTTGAGATCCCTGTTATCTTTAACTTTACTCTTTTGTAGAGACTAAGGATTTACCAACAAAGGTGTGAGTTTTTTGACACAATTGTTCATCCATATACTTCCTGTCCTTATGCATGGGATGAACCCTGTTATCCACATCGTCTCAATGTTGAGGTACGCCTACATGTTTTTTATTTTTGCAGCGTTGAGTGTTGATGATTCTTCATTGATTTTTAATCAATCCTCACTGAAAAATGTTAGGTACCTGGGGAGCGTATTGTGGGATCATATGCTTTGGATGATTTGAAAGAGTTCATACCTGTACAGCTACAATCAACCTTTGAGGTGTTCTAGTCTGCCATTAATTTATCATTATGACGTTCGGGCTTTTAAATGGTGGTCTTGAAAAATGATTTGAATGTGCTGGCTGTAACCCTGTAACTGAATATCAACTGTTTCATGTCATTTTAATTTTGTTGGTTCCTCTTAAGTTTTGAACCATATGTAGCCCCACATGGCTGATAACTGGCTGCCCTTTTTGATTCACATTAACTATTTGGTTTAATTTCAAATTTTTGCCTACAGAAGCCTGAAAGGACATTGCTTTTGTCAATATGTGCTGAAGGAGCAATGAAGGTGCATTTCTCATACTTTGGTGCATTAAGTCGGCCTTTTCTTATCTTTGTAGCTCATCAGTTTCTTTTATTTTAGGTTCTCAGCATTATTGATTCAAGTTATCATATTCTGAAAGACATAAGAGATCAAAGTGCCACCAGCTTCCTAGAGAAACGAATTGAAGAGAAGAATCAAGAGAAATCTGTTAATTATAAGGAGAGATTTTCAATATCTATTCCATGCATTGGTATCTCCTTGATTAATTCTTTTCCACAGGTTAGAAATGTCACATAAATTGTTTTCAATCACTTATGCTGAGAAACTTTCAAAATCTATAAAGCTTCTATTCCTTTTATAGGAATTGCTTTTTGCCTGTGCAAAGAATATGAAGGTTGACCTGCTTCAGAGTGTGGACCAACAAACACTTACAGTTTCAGTCTCCTCATTACAAATAGATAATCAATTGCAAACAAGCCCTTATCCTGTGATCCTTTTCTTTAATAACGATTGCAGAACCAACCAAGTTAGCCAGATAATTAAGGATGCTGGCTCAAAATATAAAAACGATAGAGGTTTAGCTATTACTTCTGATGGTTCCTGTGAACCTGTGTTCTACCTATATGTGGCTAAGTGGAGGAAGAAAGATTCTTCATTGGTTTCTTTTCAAAATTTGCATTTAAGGTATTGGCTTCTAGGTTTATATTTATCTATCTTTTAACTGATTTTGTTGTTTCATTGTTTAAAATATTTTGTAAAATGCTTGCAGGGTGGCTGATTTTTGCCTTGAGCTTGAGCAGGAACTGATATTGAGCTTGCTTTACTTCTTTAAAGCTTTATCTCCAAGTTTTCAGAGTCAAGTGATACCATTTTCAGATTCTACCTACAGTGTGGGTATAGCATATGGTCAGCCTAGTGAGTATGTGAAACCAAGAGACATGCTGCAGGGAACCAGCATTCCTGTCTTTGGTAAAAGTGATAGAAGCAATGTATCATTACCTTCAATAGTTCCAATAGGTGCTCCTTGGCAAAAGATTTACCTTTTGGCCAGCAGGGAGAGGAAGATCTATGTTGAATCACTGAATTTGGATCCTATAAAATTTACTCTAAGGTAAAATAAAAAATTGTTTTGTTGCTATCTTATATTTAGTTTTAGTTTTTACTTACTAGCATCTCTTTGAATACAATGTTTTCTTTTTCCAGCTTTTCTAGTTCGCCTTGGATGCTAAGGAATGGAGTTCTTACATCTGGAGAATTTCTTATCCATGTAAGTAGCGTTGTTCTATGTGAATAGGCTTAGGATGCATCATTATTAGTATCTGTTTATCTATGATTTCTCCGGCCTCTTCATATATATGGTAATCTATATCTGTTTATCTATTATTTACTCTGTTAAAACATCAATTGCAGAGAGGTCTTATGGCTCTGGCCGATGTTGAGGGAGCACGGATTTATCTCAAAGAATTGACAATTGCAAATCAGATGGCTAGTTGGGAATCCATTCAAGAGATCCTCATCAGACACTACACTCGGCAACTTATCCATGAAATATACAAGGTAAATGTCAGATAATATGCTTGGCTCACTTCTGATTAAAAAAAAAAAAAAACACTCTTGGCTCAGTTTCAGTACTGTCTGGATTACTCACATGGTTTATTATGGATTTTCTAATCCAAAGGAGTACAGGACAGCTGTAATTAGTTACCCTTAATTATGGTACCAATTAGTGGCTTGTAATTAGGTGCTTGCTCTGAAATTAGGAGGATCAAATAAGCCAAGGAAAATGGAAGACTGTAGTCAGCTCTGGTTAACAAAATGCCAACAGTGTGGCTTGTCATTTTGGAAAACACAAGTTGTTACCCACTCGTCACTGTGGACCTTTGAATTATTGTGTTTGCCATTGTATTTAAGCCATATTTCCTATCTACTTGCCACTTAAACAGTGCATGGAATGGAACAAACAATTATATTGGCCAAAGGTTTATCGTATTCCTTAACAATAAGACTAAGTTTTTCTATCTAATTACATCCTATGCCATAATTGTTGACTGACTTTACCCAACAATTGTACCTGCATATGCATTTATTCCATTTCTTAGCATTTAGGCCATCCTTCCCATGCCATGAAAGGCAATTAAGGAATTTCACTGTTCTTTGAATTGTAATGGAGGGGCAGCTTCAACTGTAGATCTGCACAATAATATCACATTGGCCTTTATGTTTTTTAAATTTGTATCCTTTTAAAAGCTATTAGAAAAATTATCCTTCTAATTAGCCATGATTAGTCGTGGGACCTAATTGTTCAGTCATATCATTTATTATTATTTGGCCACTGTTCATTTTTAATTTTTTCTTTTTCTATGGCTGTGACCATTGTTCACTTGAGAATGCTTGCTTTGTCAGATTTTGTGTATGAACTCATGATTCAAAATTTAGCTTTATTTCCCCTCTTTGTGAAGTTTGCTGCCTACTTCTTAGCTGGTTGTCACTTCAAGCTGTATCTTGTCTAGACAGTGCTCCTGATAAATATTGTCATGTGCTGTTAACCATGTCCTCTTTTTGTAAAATTCTCCTAACCATGTATTGACTGCTGTTATTATGCTCTGTTGTAGCTTTCTTTCATCTCCAATTATATTTTTTAACCATTAAATTAGACATCTTTTCCTAATCTTAATGTTGTAATCTACAGGTTTTTGGTTCCGCTGGTGTCATAGGAAATCCCATGGGATTTGCTAGGAGTGTAAGTGTTGGCATCAAAGATTTCTTATCAGTTCCTGTGAGGAGCATTATGAAGGTAATAAAATTGTCTATTAACTGAAGTTTGGCCTCTTTTTTAATAAAATATGAAGCGCTGGGTTTCTCGTTGGTGGAAGACTACACAAACTAGAATTCTGTTGAATGATATTCAAGAAAAGCATTCTACAACAATTAATAGAAATAGAAGAATTCTTCCTGTTGGATGAAATGAAACACAGCTACAAAATCTTCATTCAGAAATCTAAAAGGAAATGATTCAATTGATAAAGGTGCACAATTATCAATACAATTGTGCACTTCTATACTAATATAATTTGTTTCATTATTGTAAGAGCTTCGTCTATTTCCTTTTCCCTGTTAATAGAATTATAAAAATTTAATATTGTTTTTGCAGAGCCCCACTGGACTTATTACAGGCATGGCACAGGGTACAACCAGTCTTGTGAGTAACACAGTATATGCATTGAGTGATGCTGCCACTCAATTCAGTAAAGTTGCACACAAGGTACCACTCCATCTGATAAAGGTTGGAATAATTAGTTCTCCATCTTTTGTTGATATTGTACAGCTTTTCTGCTTGTAGGGTATTGTTGCATTTACATTTGATGATCAAGCTGTTGCAAGAATGGAAAACCAGCAGAAAGGTGAAGTTTCACATAGTAAAGGCGTAATCAATGAAGTGTTTCAGGTATATCATTTCAATGCTTTATAGCTCATTCCATGTAAATACTGGTTTTTGGATGCTACAAAATGCTCAATGTGTTCCTATATGGATTAGTAACGCTTGATGAGACTTGATGACAAAGTTACTGTATGATAAAGTATATTATAGAAAAATGAATGTAGTCATTTGGTAAGGGCTGGAGAATTCAAGTTCAACAACTTTACCTAGGCCTGGAAAAAACGGCTTTACCCTTTATTGGGGGTCTGGATTAGAGATGAATTTTGAGATTTATATATATTTACAGCATTTCTGAGTGTTTTGCTGTTTAACTGGAACATCGCCGGTATTTGGCTGCTTTTGTAGATCATCACATAGTCACTTGCACGATTGTAGATTTTGAATTTGCTAATCTTCATTCAGAACAGTGCTTATTTTAGTAAGAACTTAGGGTTCTTTCAAGGTCCAGAAAATAGGGTATTTTTATGGAATTGAGAACATATATGCTAGCAATCACTTGAAACATGGTGCTGAATTCCTTTTAAAAAGTGTTAAATATAATAGTAGAAACATAATTTCTGTCCTAATACAATCAATCTCTTGGTCATTTCAGGGGCTCACTGGTCTTCTTCAATCACCAATTAAAGAAGTTGAGAAACATGGCCTTCCAGGCATCCTCTCAGGTTGTATTCAATAAAGTTTGTAGTTTACTTCCACCATTGTTTTCATCTGATGAGATATCAATATTTAAGCAAATGCTGATCTCTCTTCTCTATTCTTTCAAACAGGAATAGCATTAGGAGTAACAGGATTAGTGGCTAGGCCAGCTGCTAGCATTCTTGAGGTGACTGGAAAAACTGCACAAAGTATTAGGAACCGAAGTAGCCTACATAATATGAAATCACAATGCTACAGGGTCCGGTTGCCAAGGACTCTGAGCGGAGAACTTCCACTAAGGCCTTACTCGTGGGAAGAGGCAGTTGGCACGTCCGTATTGATGGAAGCTGATGATGGCCTGAGGCTCAAGGAAGAGGTGTTTGTCATGTGCAAACCCCTGAAACAGCCTGGTGAATTTGTTATCATAACTGAGAGACTGGTACTAATAGTTAGTTGCTCCAGCTTGGTGGATTTGGGGAAACCAGAATTTCGAGGTGTTGCTGTGAATCCGGAGTGGGTGATAGAAACAGAAATTAGCTTGCACAGTGTTATTCACACTGATTTGGATGATGGGGTGGTACATATTGTTGGAAGCAGCTCGGATGCCATATTGACACAGAACCAGAACATGTCCAAGAAAGGTGGTGCAACAAGGAAACAGTGGAATAATCCTACCATGCCACTTTTTCAAACCAACTTAGAACTGGCATCGAAAGACGATGCTGAGGAGTTTCTACGAGTTCTACTGTCTACAATTGAACAAGGAAACGAACGAGGTTGGGACAGCGGATATCTTCTTCATCAAAGTAACATCAAGTAGATTAGAAGTCAAGATTTTTTTGTCATTGTTACTTCATTCTGTAAAACCCTTAACATAAACGAGATTGAAAGGGAAGAAAGCATGCCTTTTTGTCCCCTGTAATTGTTTTTGCTTCCTCTCTTTTTATGTACATTGTGTACATTATTATCATAATGTATATATTACTTGATTATTTTAAGTAGTGCCGCCGTATATATTAGTTCTTGAAAATAATTATTAAACACACGACAAACAGTCACAACATGACACATCAAATCCCAAACGCACCCGAAGACTACAAGCTTCAATTGGCACATAATGTGTCAACCTTTGGATCTGAGTGATTTTCGCTTACCATCTTGCCATTGAGATACGGTTCACAAGAGAAGGCTCAAGTGGTTGGTGTCATTATATGGCGCAAATTCAGCTTGTGGGAACTTCAGGTCTGGAGAGTCCTACAAGGAACAAAAATTGCAATATTTAGACACAGTAACCAGGTGTCTCCTATCCACTTTAGATATA